GCGGGTGGCTCTGGCCCACAGGCACGGTGGGTTAGTGCGCGACACACGGCTGCCTCCTCGGAGTGCAGAGGTCTCGTTCGACAACACGCACCACACACCTGCAACACACACCGCGTGCTGACAACACACTCAGCGCCTGATCAGACTTTCACGTCACTCTTGGCGCCGGATCAGAATCTGTCTTGGGAAGGGATGTCTTCCTTCTCCTGACACGTGCACCCCTGACCCCAGCGGTCCAGTTTAGGTGGGGGAGGTAGCACAAAGCTGGGAGTCCAAAGCCAGCTTCCCTCCCAGTGGCCTGGGGTCCCCCTTCCACCCAGTGCTTAGAGCTATTAATGATGCTGTAAGTGAAATGGGTGTGCTGGGGTCCCAGCTGCCCACCCCAGTGGGACTCTGGCACGTGGGGAGTGGGGAGCAGAATAATATCATAATCGATGTGCCAGGCACCATTGTTAGTAATTTGCCAATGATGCTCATGTATTAACTCATTCAATACGGCAACCCCACGAGGTAGGGCCTGTTATTACCCTATTTGACAGATAAAGACACGGAGGCACAAAGGGGTTAAAAACTTTCCCAGGTTCCCTCATCTAGGAAGTAGTAGAGCTCCTGAAGGAGGATCCCTGGGGCTTCTCCTTCCCAGTCTCCTCCTCATATCCGCCTTGCTGGTGGGCAGCCCCTCAGGCTCAGGCTCCCGGTTTCTTTCCCTTTCTCTGGCTGGGCTGGGCTTTTCGCGCGGCCCCACGGTGGAAGATCTCATGGAGGGGAGATAAGGGGGACCATGCACGACCTGATTTGGGGCCGGGGGCCTTGGCCCTCTTTCCTCTAGGCCCTGGCGGGAGCAGAGGCGCGGAACCCTGTTTGGGCAGAGGTTCCTCCCCAGGCACTGGGCTCTGGGCTGGTGTCCTGCCCCTGCCACAGTTGGCAGGGGGCCTTGCCCTGTTGCATTGCAGCCTGGCAGGTGCAACAATTAACCTTTTCTGGAGTGGAGGAGAATTTCAGGCACAAACTGCACGGGGCTGAGGCGAGTCACAATATTGGTTCTAGGCTTAGCATGAGCTTAAAATATTTCACCATCCCTCCCAGGAACGCCTTGACTAGAGCCTGCGGCTCTTTAGTGGGAAGGGTCTTCCTTCTAGTCTCTGGCCCCAGCGCTGTGGGCCTGGCCTCTTGGCCTCCACTGCCCTTGCCCATGCCAGAGAGGCACAGCCTTGGCTGCTGGTTGGACCTGCTGCCTCACTGTGCTGGTGGCCCCTGGCAGCGCCTAGGAATCCTGCCTTCTTTCCCTATCTCTTCTCTGGCTTGAAGCGCAGGCCACCTCCCCCGCTGTTCTTTACTTAGCCCTGTACTCGAGATTAGCACGTTCTTGGTTTCCTCTGTGCAGGTCTCTGCACTCCACACTTGCCTATGAGGCCACTTGGGCCCTGCTGGGCTCTGCCCCATGACGCCAGCCAGCCCGCCTGACCAATTTGAAGGTCTTGCTTTCATTGCCTGGGTGGATTTTCATATCTAGTCAGGGATTTCTGGAAACATGTGCCTGGATGGGTGTCAATTACCAGTCTTCATGGGAAATTCTTACTGAGTTTCTCTAAGAAATTAAAAATACTCGTCTTAACGATTTACTTCAGGACCCTGGGGATAGACCTCTGTGAGAGGGGGGCCACCGTGGGAGAGAGTTTTGTAGGGAGAAGAAGCAACAGGACAAGAGGTGTTGGCTCAGGAATTCTTAACCACTGGCCAAGGGAAGGAAGAGGGGAGGGATTAAACAGAAATCAAATTAAATCTTGCCCTTTAGAAACTTGGTTGAGGAGATACAAGGCATAAATATACAAAATGGTAAATTTCTTCAAAGTGAAAAGTACCCTAGATAGAGTTTCTGAAGCACCTTGAAGGATGTTATTTCGTGGAATTGAATGCAGTTTTACTGATGAGGGAACCCTTTTCAGAAATGTAGATTGGCTTGCCTGACACAAGCGAGGAAGCGCAGAACTGGTATTCAAAGTGCGTGTGATTCTAAAGCCCAGATTCACTGTGCTGCGTCAACCCATCTCCTCTAAAACGTGAAGAATTTGTGTAAGTCTGGAAGTGCAGTGTAAACCCAGCCTTTCTTCAACTGCAAATTCTCATTCGCCTGGTGCCATGCACTCTAAGAGCAGGACTTGCAGTGCGGGCCCTGAGTTCGGGGGGTGCGGAGGAGCGTGTACTTGGATTTGGGCCTTGCGCACCCTCACTTAGCACAGCTCTGATTGGTTGGAGCAGGGAGCTGATGCCCTGGTGGTGGTCACCGGACTGAAGACAGAAACCCAGCCTGCAGTCTTGCTGGTGACTTTACTGGTTACCTGAGCATGTTCCAGGCTCAACTCAGTGGTGATGGAGGGGCCCCTGTGCGGGGGCAGTGATGCTACCAGTTATCAGTGATGAGTGCTTTTCTGATCACATAGTACTTTTAGAGGTATTATTTCATTAGACACTCACATGACTCTGTGAGGGGGAGGCTAGGCCGGTGTCATCACCCCTGTCTTGTAGACATGATCTCTCCAAGGCTGTGCAACCAGAAATTCAACAAATTACAGACCGGGGCCCAAGTCTCTCCTGATTGTAAATCCACAACCTCTTGTTGCCTCTGGGTGAATTTGACAACTTTGATTCTTCCTTTCTGGGCCACTGTTCCTGTGTGCCTCTAGGGGGCGTTAGAGGTTCTTCCTGCTTTGCTGCTCTGGAAACTTGCTCCTGAACCCTTTGAATGTAGCAGTCTTAACGGCACATAATCTCACGATATGATAGGCATTTTCCGTATGTATCTACCCTGGTTTCTTCAGCCCCTCTGCTAGCGTAAGCTCTTTCAGATCAGGAGTCCTCTATTTGGTCTGACACTCAGCACGGTGCATGGCCCATAGTAGTGGGAGCTCAGTAACTGCTTGTTGGATTGAATTACGTAGGAATGAAATTGGCCAGTGTCTCCTCCTGCTCCTCTGAGGGCATGGAAAAGTTAAGTGAACTTTTCCTGGTCCATCCAGATGAGTGAACTTGGGAAGTGGCACAACTCAGGACCTATTCAGTATTATCGGGTGGCCACGAGGTGGCAGTGTGGCACCATGGGGACTTGCCTCATGCAACTAACTATTGGCTCCAGCCCCCTCTGGGAGACACTGAGCTATCTAGCGGTTGACTCCTTCTGGATACCTGTTTGGGAGGTGCCTCTGCAAAATCCGACTGAGAAGTCTCTGCCTCCAGCTTCTTCTAAAAGCTGGGCGACATGGTGGAAAGGCTTGTGCTTTTGGCGTCTGCCAGGCCTGGATTCTAATTCTGGCTCTGCCTTTCCCCAGAGGCTGAGCCTTGGGCGTGCTGCTTCTCTGAGCCGCAGTTTCCTCATCCTGTAAAAGGGCAAAGGTTGTACAGTTAGAAAAAGCCCAACATAAATGCATGCCAGTTTTATTGTTGGAAATTTCTGCATTTGCCTTTCTCTGCCCTCTAATCCGGCTCCATCTTGGCCACGTGATCTTATTCACCAAGCTTCTGACACTTTCTAGCAGTCTCTTAGCCTTCCCCGCGGTGTCACCCATCCTCCCCCAACTCTACTCCGTCGGTCAGGGCCCTGTTCTGCCGTTCCCCTGCCCGGATGCCTTCCCTCTGCCTGTCCATTCCCTTCCCAGCTGGTCTCCCTGACACCCCAGCCCTCTGAATGCCCAGCGCGGTGGAGTGTGTACCGTATAGGGCTAATCTTGACTTCCCGCAGAGACGGTAGTTCTGTGCAGGTCCTCATCGTAATCATTTTGGCATCTGTGCCATGCACTTAGCAGACACTCTGTAATAGAAATGACAGCTGTTATTAGTGAGCATGTCAGGTATTCTGCTAGATGCTTTGCAGAAATATTTAATTTAGTCCTCACAACAAATCTGTGAAATGGAAACTGCTATCTCCACCTTACAAAGGAGGGGTGAATCAGGACGCTTTTGGCTCCAAGCAATGAAAGAATTCCACTAAAAGCAGTTTAAACAGCAAGGAAAGTCTATTATCTTACCAAAAGAAAGTCCTGAGGGGATGCTTGGTGATACCAGCAAGATCCAGGGCATTGCCATGTCTCCTGGTGGCCTTCCTCAGTGTGTTAGTTCATCCTTATAGGCCACCCCCCCTTACTGGCAACAAGGTGACTGCCATGGTCCCAGGTGCCACACACAGGAGCGATGGTGTAGGTTCCATGTGCTCCCTTTAAGAGAACCCTCAGCAGATTTCTTACAAAGTTCTTGGGTCTTAGGCTTGTTCCCAAGCCAGTCACTAGCAAAGGGACTGGAATTAACGAGACTGGCTTGGATTCGTCCAGATTCAGCCCCTGAGGCTGGTGAGAGGCCAGCCTCCTTTAGTCCCCCCACAACTCCTGGTCCAGGCAAGAAGAGGGGACATAAACAAGGCTCAGCGAGTTAAGAAACTTGCTCAAGTTTGCAAATCTAGTAAGAACCAGGATTCAGACCAACATATGGCTGACTCCCAAGGCCATCTGTTGGTCGATTGAAGTCAGCCATGGAAGTAGAAAGAACATTGCTCTAGATTTGGTGTGCTGGGTTTGAGTGATCTTGGGGGTACCGTTTCCTACTGACTCTGAAGTCTGTCTTCTACAGACCACTTTCCATTACTGTATTGGTTTTTCTCAGTCTGTCTTTCTCCTCATACTCCCCACCTTCACCCTCTGTCTTCTAGTACCTGATGACTACGTGCCTTCTAGAATAGATCTCATGGCCTAAGCTGGAAAAAGGGCCCCAAAGGGGTCACACTGAGGTTTCATTTGGAGCAGACAAGGAGCTGCAACGGCCTCACGAGACCCGGGAGATGGAGTGGCTGGGGAAAGCGCCGGGGCTGGTGGGGGCCAGCAGGGTGGGGAGTTTATGGAGTATCGGTGGAAACGTCAGGGCATGTGGGCCCAGGGCCTGGCATAGGCCTCTCGGGCAGTGCCACCCGTGCCCTGAGGAGACAGTGCAGTTAGCAGGAAGCTGTTTCCTTGCAGATGCTCCAGGACTGCCCCAAGGCCCGCAGGGAGGTGGAGCTGCACTGGCGCGCCTCCCAGTGCCCGCACATCGTGCGGATCGTGGACGTCTACGAGAACCTGTACGCGGGCAGGAAGTGCCTGCTCATCGTCATGGAGTGGTAAGCAGCCTGCTGTTCTGTTCCTGGCCCAGCCCGTCCCACTCCCCACTCAGGGGCCTCGCGCTCTGAGGACAGCCCAGGCACGGCCCCTGAAGCTGCAGTGTAAATGCTCGATTTCCTCTGGGGGGTGCTGGAGAGTGGTAGCGGGCAGTTGTGTTCCCCAGATCTCACTGTGGCTTTTCTTCAGTTTGGATGGTGGAGAACTCTTCAGTCGAATCCAGGACCGAGGAGACCAGGCGTTCACAGAAAGAGGTAGAAAGGGTCTGTTGTGGGGACAGGCTCGGGCAGGTGGGGCGGCAGGGACCTGAGGGGGCCTCTGCAGGGCCTGCTCTCGGCGAGGACACTGAGGCTGCTGTCTCCTTCGGCACGCTGCTGCCAGGAAGGGCGTCGCCCTCAGCCGACCAAGGCAGCTCCTGGTGTCTTTGTTTCCGGGGCGGGTGCGGGGAGCCTGTCAGGCCACACGGGTGTGGGCCTGGTGCGTGGGCTTTGAAACCTAATGATGTGTCTTCGTGCCTTTCTTTCCTGCTCCCCCACTTTTCCCTCTGCAGAAGCATCAGAAATCATGAAGAGCATCGGCGAGGCCATCCAGTATTTGCACTCAATCAACATTGCCCATCGGGATGTCAAGGTGCCCGCTGTTCATTTGCCCGTACCCGATGCAGTGGCGGCGGGTTGCCCCTGCACCCTTGCGCCCTGGTTCCTGAGTGCGCCGCTCTGCCCTGCAGGGCCCTGCTCTCCCTGCCCATGGCAAACCCACAGACCTGGTCGTGAAGCCCTGTCTGGCCACACTCAGCCCTGTGGTTCTCCTCAGTCAGCACCGCCCCCTCACGCCCTCGGCTTTTCTGTCCCTGTGGAGTTTACTGCTGGTCTCTTACCTCCACGCACTCTGTAAGCTCTGTGAAGGCAGCGACCCGCCACACAGAGCCGTGTTCCTCTTGGTGGGCGGCTCACAGGGGCTGGGGTGTTGGATGAATGAAGGCGGGAGGAACTATTACCCTTTGGTTTCTCCTGGCCCCTCGCAGTCCAGCAGGGCTGTTATTTATCTGTCTCTCTTCCTGTAGCCCGAGAATCTCTTATACACCTCCAAAAGGCCCAATGCCATTCTCAAACTCACCGATTTCGGCTTTGCCAAGGAAACCACCAGCCACAACTCTCTGACCACTCCTTGTTATACGCCGTACTACGTGGGTAAGTCCAGAGAAGGCCCAGGGACCTAGGCTTTCCCCAGAACTTTCCTCAACTCTTCACCACACATCTTAGGAGAGTCGTATCCTCATGGCCCTTTCTGGCACTATCTGATGGGGCCTGCTCAGAAGCAGGGCTTGGCAGAGTTGAGCTAGGAGCGGGAAATTGTAGGTAATTCTCTGCCTGAGGTCATGGGCAGGATTTTGTGTACACGTCACTCTTCCTGAGAAGTGCCACCATATCTGTCAGATTCTCAGGGGCATCTGGGACCCAGATTTGGTTCTAGAGCCTCAGCTAACTGGCACAGAATAAGCTCTCAAACATGTTTGTCAAATTAAATGGGCAGCATGGGTCTGAAAGTCTCATGCAGTTCAGGACTTTTTTAACCTTAAGATTCTAGCTCCACGGTTCCTCTTGGGGGAGAATGTTCTGTTTTCCTTCCAGCCCCAGGCTGGGTTATGGCTATTCCTCCTCCCACGCAAGCCGCTGCTCCCTCACGATGGGCTGGAAGGTTGGGATGGGGAGCATCGTCCGCTCATGTCCCGAGGGCCAGGCCCACCCACACTGACCTTTGGTTTGCAGCTCCGGAAGTTCTGGGCCCGGAGAAGTATGACAAGTCCTGTGACATGTGGTCCTTGGGCGTCATCATGTACATCCTGTGAGTGTGCCGGGAACGGGCCGGGGCGGGCACGGGGAGGCCTGGACCTCTGCAGGCCAAGAAGGAGAGGCAAATGCCAACGGTCCCCTGTGGACGGGGCACACCCTGGGAATCCCCCGCGTGCCACTTCCCTCGGGGCCCGCGGATTCTGGTGGCTGAGTGGTGGGTACAGCTAGCTAACGGGCCGGGAAGTGTGTGGTTAGATACTTGGTACGTTGGATTCCCGGGCCCTGTCCGCAGCTTTGTACGTTGTGCCTCCGTCAACCAGCCCCTATTTCTCTGTGACCCTTGCAAGAAGAAGAGCCTGTTTCTCATCTCGTTCCCAGCACGGGGCCCCTCCGTAACATCTGCTCTGTCTCCCACCTCCTTCCTCCTCCTGGCGCAGGCTGTGTGGCTATCCCCCCTTCTACTCCAACCACGGCCTCGCCATCTCTCCGGGCATGAAGACGCGCATCCGAATGGGCCAGTATGAATTTCCCAACCCAGAGTGGTCAGAAGTATCAGAAGAAGGTAGGAACCCAGCCTTCCAGGACCAGGGGCAGAGCCCGCGTGTGTGTATGTGGTGTGTGATGTTCGCGTGCACGTGTGCACACGTGCGCGCAGGCATCCGTCTCGGGAGTGGTGTGACTGTGTGTCCGCACCTGTGCCCACACCTGCTGGGTGTGTCCTGCCCGTGGGTGGGGCCTGGCAAGTACTGAAGCCACAGGGGTCTGTGGGGCCAGTTCCTTGGTCGGGCTCCCTCTCTTGAGCCTGGTTTCCCCCTGAAAACTGGAAGGAGGAGCAGGACAGGGAGAGTGGCCCCTGAGCTGTCCCTGCTCATGTCCCACCCCACAGTGAAGATGCTCATCCGGAACCTGCTGAAAACGGAGCCCACGCAGAGAATGACCATCACGGAGTTCATGAACCACCCCTGGATCATGGTGAGCCTGGCAGGCCGGGGAGACCCAGGTCCAGGTCCAAGGGGACTGTCCCTCGGGACGCGGCCTTGGCCAGGACTCTGCCTGTCCCAGGCTTTCACTCGGACCCTACTTCTCTCCCCTCAGCAATCGACAAAGGTCCCTCAAACCCCCCTGCACACCAGCCGGGTCCTGAAGGAGGACAAGGAGCGGTGGGAGGATGTCAAGGTGAGGGGTGCCCTGGGTGAGAGGGGCTTGGGTGGGGTGGGCAGCTCGCCGGGAGCGCCCAGGTGGGAGGGGTGGCTCTGGCCGGGGAGAGTTTGGTTCTGCATCCTCTCACCCCAGGGGTGTCTCCATTCCAACAAGAACAGCGGCCTGAGCCACTTCCCTGACCAGGTCGTGGGCAGAGCACTCTGCTGGGGCTGTTTCTTAGAAGCCCTCTACTGCCTGGGTTTCCAATGGCCTTGAAGGCCATCTGGTATGATCTCCTCATTTTGCAGAAGAAGAAACTGAGGCCCAAAGAAGGGGAGTGACCTGCTCAAGGTCATGTAGCTGGTAACTGGCTGGGATGGACCAGACCCAGGTCTCCTGACTCCTGGTCCAGTGCTCTTTCTGCCCTCCTGCGGGGTTGCTGGGGGGCTCTTGGGAGAGCAGCAGCAGCGTGGTGGCCGCTCTCTGTTGCCCAGTGCTGGGGTGAGGCTGCTGTTGGCAGTGGGGACGCACTGACTGGGTGTGTTCTCTTTCTGTCCCCACCCCTGCTGCCCTCATCCTGCGCTTGTCATGTCTCTCATCTCCTGTGTCTCTCTGCCCTCTCTCCTTCTCGTCTTCTGGCTTTCTTTTTGCACCCTTCCTGGCGCAATCCCCCACCCCGCCCCCAGGAGGAGATGACCAGTGCCTTGGCCACAATGCGCGTCGACTACGAGCAGATCAAGATAAAAAAGATTGAAGATGCGTCCAACCCCCTGCTTCTGAAGAGGCGGAAGAAGGCTCGGGCCCTGGAGGCTGCAGCCCTTGCCCACTGAGCCTCCGGGCCCCCCACCCCACTGGAGGACGAGCAATAACTCTCTACATGGATATATTTTTTAAACGAGGAGACACAGAACTGCCCACTCCCACCTCCTCTCCTCAGCCGCGTGGAGCCTGAACTGTGCCAGCGGCTGGATTCGGCCTTTGGTTCCGGCCACCCCAGCGGGGAGAGGCTGGGAGGTTGGGAGGCTGCAGAGAGAAGCGAGCAAGGTGCTCCTGAACCTGTGCTCATTTTACAATCTTTTATCAGTAATTTTACCTGGAATTTTTATGAACCCCTTTTTTTGTCCTTTCTCCTACTTCTCCTTCCTACCAGACCCCTTCTTCTCTGCATCCTGCAAAGGTTTGGGGTTTGTTAAGGGTATTTGTGGAAACTGTTATAGGGAGTGTCCCTGTGTTGTCCCATCTGCCCTCCCTATTTCCCCAGGACAGCCTGGGGTCCCCGCTGGCTCAGGCGTTCTGGGGACTCAAGGCCACTCTGGAGGAGGATGGCTCCCACCTCCTCTTCTGGAGCCCTCAGACATCACCATGTGCCGGACAGATAGGAGTGAGTGTGTGTGTGTGTGTGTGTGTGTGTGTGCGCGCGCGCGCGCGCGTGCACGAGCGCCCAGATCTGTGCCTGGGATCGTGCATTTGCAGGGCCAGGGGCAGCAGGGCTGCAGAGGAAGGGGGCCCTGCTGTGGCTCAGGAACCTTGTGCCTCCTGGGGCCTGCCCTGCCCACGTGAGCCTGCCAAAGTGCCTGGGAAGCCCGCCAGATCCTGACCAGGCCCTCCACGGCCTTTCCCTGTGCGCTGCGTCCGGGAGGCAGAGGGGAGTGACCCGGGCACTGGCACAGCCATCAGGAAGACTGGACGTCCCCCAGCCCCTTCTCCCCATGTAGCGCTGGTCCTTAACGTCTCTCCTTCCCCTTCTCGCCGCGATTAACCCACTCTTGTTCATTTTCCTTAAATTTTTAGCCATTTCTCAATGGGCTGCCTCTCAGCTCACATAGGCGAGCTGGGCGGTTTGTATTGACAAAGCTTCTGCATTTCATGTGCATCTACTGGGCTCTGGAGGCGTCAGCCGGCTGCCCCTCGTGGGCAAAGGCAGGGCCACTGTGGTCCTCCCTCAAATTTCCATCGTGTGGCCTGGTGGGTGAGGGGGGAGTCTTTGCACCAAAGATGTCCCGACTCTGCCCCCTTGCCCGTCAGCCACTTTGCTGTCACCCCCAAACGACTCAGCTTGGCGTGTCCAGGTCAGTGAGGGCAGGGGCCTCCCCTGATGTTGGTGAGGAGCAGCTGGGGAGAGATTCCCTGTGCCATGGCCCCCCGTCCCACTTCCCTGTGGGGGAAGAGGTGGCAGGAGTACTTCAGCTTCCCTCTCTCAGGGGCAGGTGGCGGAGGGGCACCCAGGGTCGTCTTGTGCACGGGGGGAGGGCTCCGGGTGCCCTCAGCGCCTCCTTCGTCTCTGATGGTGTGTCCAGCACTCAGACTGTTGTATACTGTTGTTTTGTATGAGCAAAATTGTCTTTACTAAACAGATTTAATAGTTGAAAGTTTTTCTTTCTCTTCCTTCCTGGGGCTCAGGCCCCCAGCCCCCACCTCCTCCATGTGCGGATAGATTCTGCCTGTTGGGAAGGGCAGAGCTGGGTGCCCTGGGAGAGGAGGGCGAGGGAGGAGAGGAGGACCTCCTGGATCAGTGGGAGCCGGCACCTCCCTGGGTGGGGACGTGTCTGCTGCTGGGATGGGGAACGCTACTCCTGCTGTTCTTATCACTAGTTGGGAGGCAGCAAGGGCCGGGAGCCCATCCTTTTTTGCCAAATACAAAATCAGGAGCCAAGCTGCTGCTTGGCACATTCTCTGACCTACATGGCCACTGCCAGGTGCTGGCACCCTTAGTCTAGGGGAGCCGCTGGTGTGGGGCACAAGGAAGAGGAGCTGGTGGTGAATTGGGTTGAAATCCTGGAAAAGAGGCCAGGGAGCAGTCGGTGTAGTGCCTGCGAATTCCAGGAGGTGGCGATAGGGGCCAGGAAGAAGCCAAAGCTGGAAGAGACAGCAGGGTTCACGGACCCGCTCAGTGTGGAACGTTGGCATCACACGATGACTTGCTTTGCAGTAGAGCCCACCGTGGAAACTGGTCTGCCAACCCCACTGCTCTCGCTCCGGGTCGGGCGGAGAAACCGCACGTCCCAGATCGTGTCACCCACTTTCTCTCGTGTAATCCTCAGAACGCTCGGGGGAGGAAGGCAGTGCAGGATAGCCGTCCGTCCCTGCTGAGGCTGACCCGGAGGGCGAAGCAGTGTACTGGGAGCACACAGCTAACTGGTCTGGATCAGAATTCAGGCCACAGAGTCCTGCCCTCAGACCTGCCCCCTACCTGGAAGAGAGAGGAGAGGTTGACTGGTCCCCTCAGTCATCAAAGGGATCACGTCTCCACCCTCAGCCCACGGGAACAGAGGCCGCTTGGCCTCGTGACTCCTAAATGGGTTGCTGAGGTTGGTTCCTACCTTGAGACGCTGCTCACCACTCTAGAAACCACTGCTCAAAATAAGCCAGAATGAGGTTTTGCTTTCAGAGAAATACAGTTATTTTGTCTGCACTTACGGAGCTGTCAGAAATGGTAAGAACCCAGGGGAAGAAGGAAGTGGGGCAGGATGGGAAGGGAGTCAGGGACAGAGGGGAGAAGGAAGTTGTCAGCACTCTGCTGTCTTCAGAGGCTTTATTGTGACGTTTCTTGTTCCTGCCAAATACATTTAATGGTTTAAATAGCACACATTTATTGTCTTCCTGTTCTGCAAGTCAACAGAGTGATAGGGTCTCACTGGTCTAAACTCTAGGTCTCAGCAGGGCTGCATTCCTTTCTGGAGGCTGTTTCCTTGCCTTTTCCAGCTTCTGGAGGCTTCCTGCGTTCCTTGGCTTCCTGCATTCCTTGGTTTGTGGCCCCTTCCTCCATCTTCAACCCGCAACCTCGCTTCTCTCTGCCGTTTCTTCTGTGGTCACGTCGGCGTGACCCAGCTGGGAAGGGCTTGTTGCTTTTAAGGACTAGTGTGGTGAGATCTGACCCATGCAGGTAATTCAGTATGGTCTCTCCATGGCAAGGTCCTTAGCCTTAATCCCATCTGCAGAGTCCCTTTTGCCATGTAAGGCGACATAGCCCCAGGTCTAGGGACAAGGGCATGGCATCACTGGGACTGTGATTCTGCCGCAGAGGCCTGTCTCACAGCCTTCTCGGTGGTGCCCGACGTTGACCCTTGTGTTTTGCTTCCTTTCCTGTCTCGGTCAGCCCCGCTCAGGGGGACTCTTGTGGCCAGTGAGGATCCAGCCTGATGTTGGCTTTCGGAGAAGGCGGCTGGGACAAAGGGCCAGGAAGGATCTGGCGTGGCGAGTGGGGTCCTGGCACACCTTTCTGTGCCCCCGTGCCCTGACCTTCCATGTAGCAAGCCCCTGTTTCTAGGGGGAACGTAACCACCTCCTGCTGAACTCCTGGGTGGGACAGCGATGGAATCCTCTGTCCCTAAAGGCCGATGCTGGCTTGCATGGGTGCTGGGGTGGGGGAGAGCAGGTATGCTTCTCGAATACCCTTCAGTGGTGTGAGATATAAAGAGGAACTGCAGACACCCCCAGGGACCTGCCGAGTGCCCTCTTCACCATCACGAACACCCTCTGGGGGGCTCAGTCCAGCCTCCAGTTTACCCGAGAGGAACCTGAGGCTCAGAGAATTATAGAGACTTGCCCAAGGTGACACAACGAGTCAGACGACCTAGATCTGTTTCCAAGCTGAGAGCTCCTTGAAAATGCATGGAAGTCGTCCTGCTAAGGGGGGGCAGCGGGGGCGGGGAGGAGAGGAGCTGCTGAGACTGGCCCTGCTCCGCTGAGGGAAGTCTCGTTTCCCTTTGCATGAAATGGGCGTGCTGTTCCTAGGCCCTGTGGCTGTTGTGAGGAATTCAATGAGCTGCCGGATTTAAACGCTTCCTAAAATGCCAGCTCCCAGGCAGCCTTTGCCACCAGTGGGCTGCCCTGCAGAGAGGGCCCAGGGAGTGCAGGGCTAGAGCAGGGCCCGTGGCCCAGGCTGGGTCGAGCTCCTGCCCCGAGTTCGGTGGGTCTCTGTGTCTTGGGGTGAGAAGGCAGTTGGGTTGGTAAACAATAACAGTAAATTCGGGGTTTTCCTTTGACTGGGTTGGAGACAGGAAACGCGGAGGGCTGTGAACGATGAGCGGGGAGGTCTGCACGGGGTGTGAAGGAAATTCAGTTATTCAAAGCGGAGGGCGAGGGTGGTGAGGCTGGGGAAAGTGGCTGTCCCACTTACTGGGGAATGTAAACAAACCCTGCTGGGCACTCCCCAGGAGGGCCAGAGCGGGTCAGAGGGGGCTTTGGGGACCACCACTGCACTGCAGCCCCAGCAATACAGCCCCTTCTGGGTTCTGTCTCTTGCAGCCTCCATTTAGGGGCCCCAGCCACCCCGGGGTGAGTGGCTGAGTGTGGGAGCAGCAGCTCTTTGGAAGGGACATGCTGCTCCAGCTCTGGGGGCCCTTTTGGTGACTTCATCTACCTCTCCTCTCCCAATCAGACCAGTGTGGAGCGTCTCCCCAACATGCTAAACCACTGAATATCCAGGCACTTCCTGTATGCCGTGTGCTTTGGGAAAAACAAGCCAAGTGTAAAACTCGGTTCCTGCCCTTGAGGGGCTGGTTGGGGAGATAGAAGATGCTTGTGTGCGGCAGAGAGTGGCCTTGTCTTTCCTCTCCCTGGATCCACAGGCCTGGACACTTTAGAAACTGGCCCACACAGTGAGGGTGTGTCATCCCAGCCCAGGTGGCATGGGTCAGCCTCTTAGGGCCTAGAGGTTTGGAGACTGGAGAGAGGAATGTGGTCAAAAGAAACACGCCCTGGATCCTCGTCCTCTGTTTGGGTGAAGCCCCCACATCCATGCCTTGGCTGGGGATGGTGCCCGTGCTCCCCCGCCCAGGCATGTAAAGGTTAAATGAGGCCAACTGTGAAGGCTGGGGAAGCATTTTCATGGGTGTGCAAGGGTAGGGCCACTCTGGCCTCTTCGACCTGAGCTGCTCTTTGCGAAGGCTTTCAGCCACTATTCAAAAGTACAAATGCCACATTTGGATTCGGTGCATCTTGAGCACCTGGCTCCGCGTAACACCCAGTGCTCGGGAACTAGGGGAGGCGCAGGTGAGTGAGAAGTGGGTCCAGCCCCCGTGGAGCGCGGTGTAGAGCAGCGGACAGACGTGGCTGTCACAGAAGGCAGGCAGAGTCCATGTGCTCTAAAGTGGGAGCGGCAGGTGGTTGCGGTGCAGGAGGGGGGCTATTCTGCCAGAGACCCAGGAGAGTTTCCAGCAGCCCTTTGCACTGGCACTGGAAGGGCAGTTCTGGTGGTAGAAAATGAGCGAGCAGCATGGTGGAGATTCTCCCTTTGGATCTCCACTCTAGCTTGTCCGTGCAAGAGCCAGATCCATCCTTCCGTGGCAGGTTCACCCCTTGTCTTCTGGTCTGAACTACTGTCTGCTCCTCTTGTGCTTGACCTTTGACCCCCGTGGGTTCTGCCCACAGAAATCTGATCTCCCCCCCCCCCCCCCCCCGTGGCATGGCCTTGGTGTTTTCTGTCCATTTTCTCTTTCCAGCCCCTCGGACTTGGATCCCCCTCCTTCCTGATGTTTGCTCCCCAAACCAAAATTTGGCGATATAGTCTGATGGAGATTTCGCCACTTACCTTTCAGTTCATTAATTTTTAAAAAAGACTTACAAAGTTGTACCTTAAACTTAGGTCATTTATAGTCATACATTTTACAAATCATTATGGAAAAGGACATTACATGAAACTGGGAGCCCTCCTGGAAGAGCGGGGTGAGTGTCGTGAGGGGCTTCCTTGCCCCTCTTGCCTCTGCCACTAAAAAGCCTTTCTCATCCCTCCGTCCTCTGAGCCTACACCAGCCACGAGTGTATCGAATGTGAAGCCCTTGGGAGCCTCCCTGGTACAAGCGCAAATGCCAGCGTACCTAAGCTTCCATTGATGCGTTTTTATTTTGAACACACCAACATCTCAAACCTGGGGTTCCCTTGGAATCTGCATGTGCCCTCTGGAGGGAACAGTGACTGCTCTTACGGTGCGCTCTTGCCCGGAGCCCCTGGCTGGGAAGTCTTTTGACTGTCAAGCTGCAGGATTTCAGGTGGGGCCGCTGCGGCTGTAGAATCTGAGAGCCGTGGAACCTGTGACGGTAAGTCATTTTTAGGGACCAGGTCTGCCATGCAAATGCATTTGTTTGCATAACTTTCTTGCTCTCCGGGACAGTGAAGTTTCCTACCCCCATCCCACACCCATGCCAGGATTTGCAAGTGAAATATTGGGACTGACTTTCCCCCTTCGCAAGTCCCCCATCCCTCCTGAGCATCCCCCCACCCGCTTGGTTTTGGTTCTGTCTCTGAGGCTCAAGAAGACCAAATACTAGTCTTGACCTCTCTGATCCTAGTATCCTGATATGTAAAGTATCTGCAAAAGTTATGCAAATGAGCACCCTGTCTGGGTGGCTCTGGCCCTCGCCAGGG